GGGCGTAGGGCACTGGAGTCCGGTGCACCGTCGGGCACAGTCTTTCCCACCGAGTTGTGAGATCCCAGCACATCGGCATGTAAGGCCGCAGTGCCAGCCTCTCCTTCTGGAAATACGCACAAAGGTGCCGCCACTTGTAGAGGGGCTGTCCAGTCTGAAAAAGGTGGTTACCGTAGGCCCGCAGCACCGCGCAAAAAGCCATGGCACAACCCTCTAGACTTAGCCGAGCCGGGCGGGAAAGTTGGGAAGCCAACCAGGTTCTGAAGTCAGCCAAGAGTCGGTGCTGCAGCGCTTGCGTGCGAGCGCTCACCAGCTGCACCTCTTCCAAACAGACCTCGGCTGGCCCCGGATTGGCTGCCTCCCCAATCCGCTGAGAGCCGCATCGGCAAATGTCACAGGCACTGATGTGCCGCCGGTCGCCCAGGGGCCTCATAGCCTCTGTCGCTGCCGCAGCCAAGAGCCCATTCAGCGGCCGGGGGTAGCCCTCTGCAACCTTGGTCCACATCTGCCGCCTCTCCTTGCAATACCCACTCAGGCGCTGATGGGGGCCCGAGCAGCTGCACAAAAGACGTTGTCCACGGAGGGCGGTCGAAGTGTAAATCCGGGTGCGCTTGCGCCAAGGAGAGCCGCACCTGCAAAAGTCCAACAGAAAGAAACCGCCAGGACCGCCAGCTCCCTCTGTCAGGGCTTGCCACGCAGGCTGCTGCCAAAGGAAAGAGGACGCCGGGTTCTCGATCCAAAAGTCGGTGCCGACCTGCGCCGCCGCCTTCACCACATGGGCCGCGAAAGCTGCTTGCTGGTTGCCCGCCTCGACCTTTGCCTGCATAGCCGGGCGACAGTCGGGGAGTCCAGCCGGGTGCGCTTTCGACCGCACCGGGGGCCGGATGGCACGACTCATGCTCGAACACACCGGACCTCCTCCCACGCAGTAAAAAGCCCCGCCTGCAATCAGCTCCAAGATTCTGGCCTGGCACGCGGCGTCCAGCAGGTCCTCTCCAGCGTCGCGGTGCAGCTCAAAGGTCAGAACCCAGCAGCCAGACCGCCGAGCCAAGGCTCTAGCCGCCCCGTAGGAGCCGCTGTACAAATCCAGGAAGCCCTTCTCGCAAAGGTCGGGGGCCTTGCCGCCGGCCGTGAGGAACTGCTGCTTGGGGATGGCCCGCAAAAGCTCCTGTATGCGCAGGGGCAAGGTGGCCTTGTCCAGAGGCGTCTCCGTAAGCAAAAGCCGGTCGCGATGGCGTCGTTGCGAAGGCCGCTGCCACCAGCTTTGTCAAGCCTCCTTCCTTGAAGCCACCTGAGTGCCAACCACACCCAGCTCAGTCAGCGGCGGCAGCCCCAAGGCGTCCTGAGGGAGAGCCCCTCGCTCGGCCAGCCAAGCGTCCAGTTCCGCGAACTCGCCCTGAAGCGCCGCGGCCCACCAGTGAGGAAGCTCTTCGCAGGGAGCCCTAAGCGGCACGTTGCGGGTGCCGTCGTCGGCCGGGTTCTCCGCCGAGGCGTAGTACATCAAGTCCAGGTAGCTCTCGTAGCCCAGCTGTGCCGGGAGTGCGGGGAGGCTGCGGCGCAACTCCCGGTTTATCGCCGAACTGCTCGAGCGGCCCTTGCCCAGAGCGCCCAAAGCCACCTGCGAGTCCATAGCCAAGTTCAACCTGCTTCGGGGCCGTCGCCTGGCATGTCGGAGCTCGCCCTGCAGCCCAGCTCGCACCTCGGAGATGTTAATGTGCCGTCCTCGCCGACAAGGTCGCCGCCAAGCTCCCCCATACTGCAAAGCCCGCGCCAGCTT